AATGTGATGTATTTACACCCTACAATTCGAACAATGTGATCACACATATACTTGTCATGGCATTTTTGATCGAAATTAATAAAGGTCAGTTAAATGAAGGTTCAAGTGGAGATTATTATTTTCACAGTTGAATTCACGAGTCGATCTAAGCTAGATCACCATTGAAAATCTGAGAGGACTGGTCGGGTGTTTCACCCTATTACGGGATTCCTCAGCCGTGCGCGTCCACGATCCCTCGGTCTCGCGCGAGAACGCTTAATTTCTAGACCACTGAGCCGGCATTCAGTAGTGTTAATTTCTAACTTGAACCAATCCATGATATTACGCAACCGTTCACCATTGTCTTTACAAAAGGCACGATTGAACTCCACTGGTCACAGCTTTTCACTAGAACTTCAGTAAATTAATTTTGAAGCCAGTCATTAGTGAGCTTACGAGTCTAAGGGTCCCGGGTTTGAATCCCGCGAGAGGGATCGTGGATGCGCACTGTTGAGGAGTCCTATGCTAGGAAGAGACAGCCGTCCAGGGCTCCCAGGTTTTCAGTGGTGGTCTGACATTCGTCCATTCATGATATCAATTTAAATAATCCACTTAACGAGTCTTCTCTTTCTCATATGTCAACCAACTAGATGATAGAACAGTTTTCGTCTCTCTCTACCCAAGCAGTCAGTCTCAATTCGAACTTACTCATTTCTAGCCTCAAGGTTAAACCAGTTAGCCTATCGATCAAGGACTCAATCTAGATCGATGCAAGTTCTCTTTTTTATATTATTGGGTAGACAGATCAAGGGCGTAACACCCTTTTGCACTGAATACCCTTATTAATATGCGTCCTTTTGAAAGTCTCACATATTAATGCCAGTTTTTGTTAACGTGCGTCATTTTTATCCGCGTCTTTTTTCATCCGCTCTCTTGATAGTCACTCTCCTAACTGGAAAGCTAGAATCCATTTATAACTAACAACTATATATTAGTGTTTCTAATATATATATATATATATATATATATATATATATATATATATATATATATATATATATATATATATATATATATATATTCGATTTCTAATCCATATGACTGTTATGGGTAAATCTCATAAACTGATTTGTCCTCACAAACGTTCTGCTACGACTACAGTGAGAAATCAAAGAGATATGTGCAGTGATTACTGGGTATCAGAAATAACTGGGTTTTGGGTGGGAAACTCGGGAAATAAAGTCAACTTGGCTGACTCCATGAAAACACACTCGTCGCTCTCAACTTATTAATAACTTGGTCCGTGTTTTAAAGACATTCAATAACATAAACGCCACTTTGAATGAATACATATTTCTTGGCTTGTCTTCAAGCTTAAATGTGACCAAACAAAGCTCAAGTCGTATATCTGATTCAAACAGACGATCAAAGGTGGAAACTTATTTGCTTATTTGCCAAAAATTCAAACAGAATCTCTTTATTTGCGGGCTTAGGAAAACTTTTAGCATATACAATTGCAACATAGTAACTATGCTCAGATCGATGCAATGAAAGTGATATTCATGTTATTGAGCAGTCCATAATTTCTTGAAGCATCGACTAACTAATAACAGATTCTAATGAAGTATTTCTAAGGAACAAGAAATGTCCTAAAATAGAAACTTTGATACGTCTAGGACTATGGATTGTTTCTTCCATTATTTCGAGAACATGAATATATCTCATCTTTCTACACGGTAAAATTATAATTTGTCTAAGTAATACTTTGAAACTTTTTGAGTGTTATCCTCTGTATATTGTGTAATTAAACGTTTACACCCATCACTTCTTGAAGAAAACAAAAGAATATATTAAACATGTCTGTATATGTTATATTAAGTAGATAACAGTTTTTTATAAAAAAAACGTAATTAAAAATCTGGATTTTATGTATATAAGACTTGGTATTATTTATCGTGGCTTTAGATAACAAACTTTGGAAATATCTAAATTTCCTGATAAAGCTTTAGTCAGTTCTTCCAAACTAATTTGACCGTCCGAGTTGTCATCAATTTTCTTAACGAATTCCCTAACCTCCTTAGTGTTATATTTAGTAGAATTTGACCTCAGATAAGCCTTTATTTCTCTTTGTGATACAAGACCATTATGATTCTTATCAAGTTTTCCGAATAAATCACTAATGTCACCAATCCTAAAAAGAAAGATCAGAAAAAAGAATCACTTAGACTACGTAATTGGATGAAACGATCAAAAAATATCGATAACAAATTGATTTGCAATTAGAATTTTTGTTCAGTAGATAATGTCTTAGTCCAGCCTTGGGAAAATAAAACTTTAAGTTGTTAGTAATGAAAATAGCAAAAGATGGTAGGAAGCACTGAAGTATGATTTTTAGAGTCCTTCTTGACAAGCAACAAGCATCGGATGCGTTACAAAATCACGCTCAGATAACCTCAGTGAACTTGAAAGTAATGGTGGCTGAAAACTTACATAAAAAGGATCGAAAACAAAAATTCCAATGACCTAGTTATCGAATATGATAAATACTCATCACATGCTTTTGAAAAGCATGTAGTTGAGACGGATCATATAAATAATCTTAACTCACCCTTTATATTATAGATGTGGTCTAGGTTGAAAACTCACATTCATTGAAGCCGTATGCGTGAAAAAATTCAAGTCTTTTTGTGTATCTCCCAGTAAGTTGTATATTTATTAAACCTAACCTGTTAGTATCACTTGATTTCAGAGTGGTGTGATTTATACTGTTCTTGTTTATATTTTTTCCCTATGTTCTCATTTGCCTACTTTGACCTTTATTTTTTATAATGTCTTGAGTTAATGAGCAGTCAGAATGCACGAAATGTATTGCGCTAATTTAATCATTACATCAACCTGGGAACGCGTGAAAATAGTTTTGGATACGTAACGTAAGCGTATTCAGTTCACTTATTTGTAGACACTTGTCACCTTAGCTTTTAGTACGTTGCGCACTGGGAGTGCAGACGACGCACTCAGAAACATCTAACTTAATCATCATTCATTTGGCTTAAATAGATGTTCCTCGTTGTGAAGTGAATCAGCTTGTATTTACTCAATATCCCTCCGCACAAGATTATTACAAGTTAGCGAAAACTATACAGTCTCTCTTTAATAGACTGATCATTTTTAAATAGAAAAAGGGTAGCATAGTAAGCTGTTTATCAGGCCAAAGCAAATATGAGATAATTACTCTTCTGGGTAAGGAAGTTTGATCAAAGTAGTCTTGGATACTGTTTCAAGAGGTAAGTTGTTCTATGTACCGTCCAGAGAAACAAAACAAGAGAGGTTGTTTAAGTTTTTTCAGTTCCGAAACGATTCATGGCTCAACTAACAAATAGATATTCAATGGTAAGGATAAGATAACTCATACATTTAAATTATTCCTTATGTGATTAAAACTTGTACAATTGCTAATCTAATTGACGATATATATATTTAAATAGAATTATGTTAGCATACAATTTGTGCTCCATATTGAAAGTAAGGATTGTGACATATCTAGTGTTTCACATCAATGTTAACTTCAGAAAGTGATTTCAAATGCGTAAATAACAGTCGCAGAGGAAATAAAATAAAAATAAGTAAACGTTAAACATACGACATTGGACTTGAGAAAAGATTGTTCATTGCCTCGTATTAAGTTGAAAGCACCCAGTAATACTATTATTTCTAATCACTGTTAACTAACTATTTATACACCAGTTCAACCAGCTGAGTGACGAGTGGGCTTGTATAAATTGTACTCTTTATCTAATTTCTAAAAATCTCAGTACATAAATTAGTTTATTTAATGGATTTTTATTCAAAAGATAATTTAAAATCTCGATAAATGAATAAAGAGAAAATGTGATTTTGCATGATGTAATCACAATACTGGTGAAACATGAGACCTTTTTTAGAACAAAAATTATAATCTGTAGGTGATTTGCATTACTAACTGACATCTGTTCGGGTTAGAGTGAACACCGCTATTCTGTCGTCCTATGAACTCCGCAGCAGTGGAATCGCAACCCAACTATGGATTAAACCCAAAGGCATTTTGTCACATGGCAAATGTTTAAACTTTAGACCAATGAGTTAGAATCCAATGGCTTGTGTTTACAACTTCAATCAATTCTCAGTACTGTACGACAATCATCCTCTCTGGTGTTAGACCATGACAAAATCCAACTACTAGTAAAACTATTCTCCATATAACATCTTAATTGTAATATAGGTGAATGCTTGCTAGTGAACCATAATATTTCTAAAACATTCAATGAGTGTCTTATTTTATCACATATATGACGCACTACTGCAGAAGTTTGATAGTATCTAATGTAATTATATAACAAACAAGATATACTCACTTACTTTTAATTCGATGTAAAAATCTTTGCCAGTTTAATTAATCTAATATAATCAATGGAACTCATGAATAACTTAACCATTAAATCACACTACGTCAATTTGTAAAACGACAACTCTTATTTCAGTTCTTAATGTGTGAATTTAATATTTCATTGTACAGTGCACTGGATAATTTAAAGCCTCATAAGTTTGATATTGTAAGCGAACCAGTTCGACGTTGCAGCGATTTATTATACGCTACTTACAAAATATTAACATTTATAACTAACAGAACACAGTGATCTGAATATTACAGCTGGGAAATTTATTTGCTTGAATTTGAGACAACTAGCTTTAACGCCTAAATGATACGAGAACAACCAATATTTGACAATAGTTCGATGACGTAAATACCAAATTCATTACATTTTGATATATTAATCATGCATAGTTCTTTAATGTAGTTTGAAATGTTCCAAGTGTTGTAATTAGTTATTATTTTCGATATATAGTTTTAAAAATAGGTTATTCTTCATTTATACAGACGAAATATCCTTATTCAAGTTGGGTGCAAACTATATCTTTGATCTATAATACTAGTCTCCTAGATTGAACTAACAAGATAGTACATCATACGTGAGCCAAAAAATGTTTTGTTTTGTTTGAAAAGCCAAAATATTTTGACGAAACGAATTTATTATTACGTTAATACTAAAGGCATTTTCATTTAATAATTTTAGTAAATCTATAAAATTGTTGATTAAATATTTGAAATTAGACGACAACCAAATATTCATCTTCGTATTGTCCTGAAGTCTGTAGTACAGGATCTTCTTTGTGGTGAAAATGCTTTCATAAATTCATGCAAACTTAATTGACCATCTCCACTTTCGTCAATCTTACGAATGAAGTCTTTGACTTCTTTATTTGTGACTCTCGCACCGTGTAATTTTAAATAATATCTTAGTTCTTTAGCAGTCACGTATCCGTTGTGATTCTTATCCATGTGGTCAAACATAGTGCGTATTTCTTGTTCTCTGTATATATAATAAAGAGACAAAACTGAAGTTAAATATTCTCCATTATATATTACAACATATAAAAACGTTTGTGACGAATCAAAATAATTCTGTTTAGAATAAATGGCAATATAACTAAAAGTAAACGAAATACTTTACTCTTCATAAAAGTTTACGTCTCCATATGTAAACAACATGATACATGTGGTCATTATGTCTACACAATGTCTACTAGAATAATTGACTTATTAACTGCTACTAACATATGTGTTTTAAAGTATAATGCTTGTATTTAAGCGCTTAGTTGTTGTTAAAGAGTATTTGAAATAATTTAGTTAGAATTCTTTAGGAAATTTCTACAACTATAATTGTAAATCTCTTATGACGAAATGATTTGTGGTGTGCCGAAAGACTATTATTGGTCAGATTATATTACAAAAGTCAAACATTTGTATTCTCCCAATGTCGTTTCTCCCATTGTAGAACTGACATATATGTAAGAGGTTTATAGTGAATAACATTTCAATGCATTGATTCTCATCTGTTTCGAGTCAGACAAACTACATTATTTATAAGAAGTGTTCTCATTCTAATTATTCAAATCGCTGTCGTTTATCCCATGAAACCCAAGTTATATCAATATATCAAAGAATTTCTTACAAACCTATCTTTTTAGAAATTAAATTAAGACAGATATTTATCATTTTTTGATTTGCAACAAAATATTGCTAAAGATGAAAATTTCCTATCAGAAGATTTATCTATAAATTGTTTTCTATTTTCCAGTTATAAAATAAACTGAGGGTGAAGAAACAACAGTAGCTCTTTTCATGCACAGCTAACCAGCTATAAGTTTGATATTAATTACCAATCACTGTCACTATATTCAAGATTTGTGTTCATACAATAAAATCGTGAACCTACATTTTGCTATCAGCTCATGTTATTTACTTCACAAATTACATGCATCCTTTTATTCGAAATGTACTTCTAAGATTAACTGAATTGTAGAAATGTATTTTAAACTTATCTCAGCCAATTAACCTTTTATCTAGTAAAATTCAACTAAAAATAACAAATCCATTTAATCATTTGAATTTAAAAGATTAATAAGAATGCCTTAAATGGGACAAGGGTATTTTCCATAACGATTATCTTTTAAAATAATCTAAGAAAATAGGAACTCTGGAACGATGGACAAAACTAGTTGAAACCATATTCAAACATTATTATGTTGAAATGTTCAATATGTAAACATATAGCCCGAATAAAAAATAATAAATAGGAAATCAAAATTATGGCTTATACAAACTAAGGACTATGGTACAAAAGCATCTTTTATCACTTATTTATGTGATCCAGTTAGAAAAATGATGTTTCAGTATAACCATTCAAAAATAATATTCTGTAGTAATAGTTATAAAAAATAAGGGTGGAGAAAATAGACTGTTAATTAAGAGTCGGTTTTCCATATATTTTCCTTTTTTTAGATGCCTAAATATAAAGTAAATTAGCACAATCGCTAATATCCTACATTTGAGAAAATTTATAAGAATGATATATGATGAAGCAATTTAACTCTGTAACACAATTAGATAAAAAATTAGTGATAACTCAATGGTTTAGCTATATTTTGTCACTAAATCCTCCTACCTTCTGTTAATCTCAAAAATTTAATATGCACACGGTTATCAAAGATCGCTAAGGCTTAACAACTATTCTAAGAAAGTTAAAGTTATTTTATGGATATGAAGTGAATTAAGTGAAAATCAAGTTAATTAATAGTCATAATAGAAAACAATTTTAAAAACGAAACAACTTAAGGTTGTACGATTGTACAGCTTGATAATCAATTCGTTGTAAAAAGATTCCTTCGCTGAACTTCGTGTTTTTAACTTAAGGTTAGATCATTTAAGGTTGCAGATAAACAACATTTGGTTTACATAATCGAATTAGATTACTCAAACATTCATATAAATGAGTGTAAACAACTTTGTATTACACCAACACTAACAGAACAGTTATTAATTTAAAAAAAAAACATTTCAACATACGTCAGCTGACGATCCATGTTTGCACACGTTTTCTTCTTGAAAAATAAAGAGGAATTGTGTGAATTTTATACATGAAGATAGACAACTCGTATTTATAGCTCACACATACTCTAAACGTGACTATCTTTTATTGGTGTTTACATAAAGTGAAATTATATTCACGCTAATTGTTTACTATCATATGTGTTTGGTATAATGACTCATTTAAATCACTAAAGTGACGTAAATAATACTTTACTTAAGTTTTGATGAAAGCGAAAGTAATTACAGTATTGCGGTTCTATTTCTTGTTTCATTTTTACATAATCAGTTATTCCACATCTTCTGTAGCTGGATTATTGACCAACGCCTTTGTTTAAAAGTGCAGGAGCATTAGTTTCAATAGATAGTTATCAGTTGTTTGGCCAAACTTATTGTTTAGGATGGAATTTCAGTAAACTATAAATATCATGGGCTGAAACTCACATGAGATATAAACATAAGTGCTCATTTTCTATATTTAAGGAAGTAAATATTATTTTGAGTAGCTTACTGGATTAAATCATTACGGTGTTGCATCAGTTATGTAGAATATACTACTTTATGATTAATTCAAATAAACAGTTACTTATAACTTACAAACTTTATTTGGAATTAACTCCACTACTGTACATTTTTGTGAACGCTATTTTACATAAATGAAATATTTCTGTTCACTTTCTACAGCCTCTGTCCTTTTCTGTTTATTACAAGTAGATAACCTATTCAGCTAAAGAAATATTCTCCATTACTTTTCTACAAAATAAAAGAACAGGATAGAAGTTGAGGCGATCAGTAAAAAATGTAACTGTTAATCATCAATTTGTTTCAAAAATGACTTCTAGAGGGAATTCTAATGCATTTACATTAAACAAAATGTTAGTTTACCAACACTTAATTTACTTTACTCTCGGGAGTCTATATGATTAAACTATCAAGTGACGAAAATAAAGAAGCAAGTTATCTGAAAATTACTAGCAAAAATCTACTTACAGTATGTGTCTGCATTAATGCTTACACTCAACTTTGTTGGTCGATTGTCTGCTTTTAACAAGGAATGGAAGAACTTCTAGGTACGCTAGTGATGAGGTAAATAAAAGCCAAATTTTATTTTTGTTTCGATTTGTATACGTATGTGACAGGAGCATCTTTCTACATTTTGGAAGAAATAAAAAAGCCATGACGAACAACGGAAACTATTTTTGAGAACACCGCTTCACTTAATTCAAAGTCTGTAAAAACCTAACATTTGCCCCTTCGTTTGTTCTATAAACCATAATCTTTCGTCTGATGCGTGATTCACTGCCATGATCTTTATTATTCCCAAATTACTGTTGACCAATCAGCCGGTAGAATGATCTTCGTCTCTCTACCCCCAAGGCCGTCTAGTCATAAGTTGGACTCCCACATTGATAGGTTCAAGTTTGAACTAGATAGACAGCCTGTCGTGTCAAGGCCCGGTGACACATTCTCTCCAGTATATTAGTGGGTAGACAGATTAAGGATGTAGCAGATTACCTGTTAAACGGGGCAGCATATTTCTAAATAATTTCTAAATCTACTGAGTAGATATTTTTGTGTATCTCCGAAGATAACAATATAAACCAAATGATTACTACAAACATCTAGCTTAGCTTATATTGCACGTTCTGATTGAAAGCAACTTGTATGTTGATCCGTATTATTCAAAGATTATGCTATAAAAAGTCCTATATACTAAATTGAACGATAAATTCATCTATCTAAATAAATATTTTAAAGATCATCATTACATTTGCTGAACTCTATAGTTACTCTCTTTTTTCTTACTCCGTATATATAACAGAAAGACTCATAACCAGATATTCACTCCAATTAAACATTTGTCTGCAAACATGGAAGAAAAAGCTACCTCTAAAAATCAATTACTATTATTCAGGTTTGGACACCTACAAAGTGTTTTAACCATACACACTTGTCTAACATAATATACATTATCTTAGCTCAAGCAGCTAAGATGCCAAAGGGATGCGAACCGAAAAACCTTACATAAATGTCCCTATTGTGGGTGTAAAGTAACCAGAATGGTAGTTGGCAAGTAGCTGGAATATCAGTGATGGAAACTGGATTTTTAACCAATAAAAGTTATTAATCATTCCAAAACTGACGAAGCGAGGTTTCTTTTAGCATTCACAAATATGTTTAATTTTTATAAGCATGAATACGAACTATACTAATATGTAGACATTTTATTACACAGAATGCTTAAACTTAACCATGTGCATCGCTTACCACGTGCTAGTCTTCACTGGGAATATTCTGTGGGATAAAGCCAGGTGATGTTTAACATATGTATCAGGAGCTATAAGTCCCGAGTAAAGTAGATGAAAGTTTCTTGCTGTTTACTTTTCATTCCTAATTTTCGCTCATATGACACTAATAATGAGAAATATTTTTCACTAGAATGAAAAACATATTCTTAGTACTGTGATGGAAACCACTATATCTTCATTTTGTTATGATATTTTATCAATATCAATAACTAAAATAATGAGAATGAGACGCGTTGTGCATGGAATTACTATGATAATTAGAAATATTCGAATTAATGTATTAACTAAGAATTTCCAAAATAGTGCTATTTAAGGTTGATAGACCCAAATGAGCATAAATGAACGTATTATATTTGGAATTCGTAATAAGCGCACAGTTAAGTACGAAGGAATCGTCAGTTAGTATAAATACCACAATTTCTTTTACAACAAGCCGTCAGGCTGATTTCTTAACCCATTAACCGATAAAGATTCGTTTGGCTGTTTGAATTTTGGATATGTTGAGAAATATGGCTCTCTTCAAACAGGTATTCTAACTCTCAATCAGTATGAGATTCGCTTTTTGATATTTGGTAGTCAACGGACATAACCTTTGTCTAACTCCAAATGTATAATGGGCAGTTTCGTCGCCTTTGACTGTCAGTATGAAATTTTCACCACCCTTTAACTCCACAGTTTCCAATGGTTGTTAGATAATTGTTTGGCAAGGAAACCCAACTAGTCGATAAGCTTATATTATGAGACAAATAAGTGGATATTTAACCGAGCTCTTAATGGTGAAAAAATGGCTTTGAGTGTGCAAATATTACTCAGCCTTAAAATAAGTTGAAGCGATAGGTGCCAATATAATTCAACATGGTTTTCGTTTGAAGACTCATTATTTAAGAAATTTGTCCACAGATATGTCATTAAATTATTCATATTTTGCCCCCAAATGCCCTGATATGATTGAGGGTTGGGTGAGTCCACTCTCCCTCTCGAAATACTCTCACATGGCCACGCGTATAAAGCCACTACCAGGTAAGTTCTACTCACTAATTCGCGGCATGGGTATTGTTCACGAAATCGAGAGGACGTAAAGCGAATTCCCGGCTCCTTAACAAGGTTGGTGGACACCAAGGGTTCACCTAGAGGAGTTAAATAAACCTGATTCCAAACCAATGGTACACATGGGCTCCAGTATCTTGAGGGAACAAATGGCGTATGAACCAATTATTGGTCACCGGCTACCATGCAACAGCATCGCCTTGCGTTGCTCCACTGCCTTGTGGGTTAGAAATTTAGGTCAAAGGCTCCGGGTGTGGCCCCATAAAAGACCACTTGCTTTAGTTTGGGCACCCGGGCAGTATCACAGCTCTCATACAAATCAACGATAACTATGACCGGAAAAATTTCTCTTGCTTTAACGCTCGCTCAGAAAAATCTTATTCACAATCATATGATAACGTTCGTTTTTCATTTCTTTTATACTACGTCACTTACGTTGCTCATGTATTCCTCGTTATTCTCATTTTGCGTACTTTATTTTTTGGCTTATACAGAATCTCGCCCATGGTGGAAACCCTGTCCCATCTAAACGATTTTGAGTCACTGACTGGTCGAAAGTTGAATGCTATTACCGAATACGAATACTGAAACAGTCTTTCTAAAACCATGTATACAATTCAAACTGGCTTGCTTCAATGCTCTCATACTAATGCAGATCGAATAACAGATAGGGTTGGCTACTTCCTTAGAAAGTCTCAACATCGATGTATGTTGTCTATTTAAGACTGTAGTGAAGTACTATAAATTCTCTCTCCGTCTCTTCGGAAAGCTTGTTTCACGTGCGTTTATCCGGAGACTCTGTGGCATCTTTGTCTAGTATTACTGAAGTTGGTGTCTCACTAAGCACTAGAGCTAAGGCATTACTGACCGACTGGATCCCAATTACCAGTCCGTTATGTGCTGTTAGATTAGAAAGTTCCATCAAATTACGAAGACGTCGGTGTGAGAAATAATGTCTTTTCGTCATCTCCACTTATGCTGCGACAGATTGTAGCCCGGATTCTATCAAGGATGCGTTTTATCACCAGTTAACTGTTCGTTTACAGGAAGTGAGTTTGACAGATATTGTAGTACTAGCCAGAGACTTGAACGCACTGGTTGGGCGTCTAGACACAGAAGCGAGTCGTTCAGGTGGCCGATAGGGACTTGTTGGTCGTAGGTCAGATAACGATGACTGACTACTGCAATTTTGAGCAAACTAAAACCTGTTTCTGTTATAAGTAATGAGTTTCTTCAGGCTCCTTACAACTCATTGAAGCTCGTCGGTTTACTCCGAGTGACTGCGAGTTTGACCACAAGTGAAGACTTACGTAATTAAATTGGACAGATTGTGTAAGGATCGAGAAGCCTAGTGGTCAGGGCATGTTAACGAGTTGGAAACAACAGCCGCATCCTGTGACCCCCGAAAGCTCTTTCAACTCACGCGAGACACTGGCAGTAAGAAGTCATGTGTATTAAACAATCTATGAAGCTGACGGGATGCTGATCACTAATATCTACCGACGTTCTGGACAATGGGTAAAGTTTTTAGAGGGGCAGTTCAACTGGTCTACTGGTCCAGAAACATCGATCAAACTGCCTTGACCTCCATGGCCTGTGCAGACGAGATAGAAGTCTTTATAGATCTCCAACTCTTGAAACGCAACAGATCACCAGGTTCAGATGACTTAACTCCGGCCCCT